TTTTTTTTTTTTTTTTTTTTTTTTTTTTTTTTGGTTCAGAAGCAGCTCAGTGTCGATACTGAGTAGTTTAGCAGTGTAAATTCTGTAGATTATCACAGTTTAGGAAGAACATGAAAGTAGCAAAAAATGTTTTCTTACAGAGTTATTTGTTCCTTTACAGGCAGTTGAAGATGCATATGTACCATTTGTCAAGTTTGATGGTGTTGAGGTGTTTTGCTTTTTTTCTTTAGGTGCGAAATATTTGTTTTCTTCCTTTGGAATAGGATAACTTCTCCAGGGAACTGTGATCATGCTATTTCAATGAGGATATTTGTACCTTAGAGTGTATTTAGGAAACCGTAATTGAACGGCCTGACCACAGCCTGTCCCAGGAGAAGACGCTGCAGTAAAATGGGAGCTTATAGGAAAATAAGCCCCCAGGAACTGTGATGTAGAGCAGGGCAGCTTGCTTGAACAGCACTCACAGTCTCACAAGGACTGTTCAGAGTGGGAGCAAAGGCAGTGTCCTTGCTAACTCCTCCCAGCTCTGACAAGCTGGATTTCTACAGAGGGATGAGTGTGGTGTAGTTAGTCCACTGTATGAATCATGTCAGCAGACTAAATGCTTTGTGGCAAATCAAAAATGAAGTGGCCATGAGAAAAGCAATCTGGAAACTAAAAAGTAAAATACTCATTTGACTCCTGCCTGGGTTTGTCAGCTGCAGGAATCCTTGTTTCTTGAACACGTCTTGTACAGTGAATGGAGACCTGCGTGTTGTAGTACCTAAGCAAGATACTGCTTGGTATCGCTCTCATGAAGACACGTATTCTGTGACCTTCTTCTGGCCTTTGTCTGGTGCAGACATTCACAGAATAACTTTCTTGCCTCAAGAAGCAGACGCTTCAGGATCAAAAGGGCTTGCTGCATAGAGAAAATGCTCTCTCCTTTGCTGAAGTACAGCTGAGGTGATTGAACTTAATTCTATGATTAATTTTCAGTTCCCTTTTAATGGAAATTCTGTTTAATCTTCAATTTAAAAACCCCCTTCTTTTACCTAGCTCAAAGAGAAGGGGGGATACAATGAAGGTTTTGTAAATAAAAGATGGGACTTCAAGCAATTTTCTTGAGGTTTTTTTGGCAAATAAATCTCTTGGGAGATGTATCTATAGTCACATAGTTCTAAATAAAAATGTTAACCACTCTTTTTGAGACTTGACTAACTGTTCCCCACTAGCGTGCTGTTCACAAACAGTGCAGCATTCTAACTCACGGTTGACACTTTTCTTCCTCTTAAGATTGATCTGGTGCTTGCAAGACCGTCTGTGCAAACTGTTTCTGATTAATCTTGATCTCGGAGATGTCTGAGAAGCCTGGATATGAGATGTGTACAGAGCTTAAATGGTGAACGTATTTACACATCTTTAAAAAAGAAAGTGTTACTGAAATTGGTCTAGAATGCACATTCCACAACTCCAGTTTCTGTACAAGGTGCCTAAACTGATCTCCTGTGTACTTGAGATCTGAGGAGGTGGCGAGTGGCCTTACATTTCGATGTTTCAAGGAGTTGTCTGTTGAGATAGACCTGTATTTCATGTTTCCTTGATCAGTGTCTGTGCATTGTTTCAGCTTGCCACAGAAACTGCTTCAGATGAATAGGTAGAGCACTTGATAGAGAAGAATGTGTGATACTTCATAAAAAAAACCCAAAAAGATATTTAAACTACCTGAAGCCTAACTTGCTCACTGTTTAACAGCGACTGGTTTAATTGTTCCTGGCTGTTGAAAGAAACCTGGCTTTCAGAATCCTCTAGAAAGGCCTTATGAAAAATGGTTGGTGAGAGTCTATAAATGATGACAAAGCTGTTGAGGGCACCAGTTACCTGAAGGGATACCGAATGTTAGGTGTAATCTGTAATTTTTAACGTACCACAAAGTGAGTGATCCAAACTTGAATTCTTAGATTTGAATGATAAATTGTAAGCTATTGATCCAGCATAGCATCAAACGGATCTGTACCTGTTACTAGGAACTTCTGTACTTAACTTTTTTAGAGTTGCCAAGGAAATGCTACATCTAGTGCCAAGTAAAGAGAACTTCTGGCTCATGCTCCGTGCAATTAAACAGTGGGCAAAACGTGAGTAAGGTGACTGCTCATAATCTTTAAGATTCTCAGAGGCACCTCACACTGAAAAAGTAAGACTGTTTGAAGTACTTCAGCTTTGGATAGCCATTTCAGTGACAGTTTTCAAACAAAAGCCTGGTTTTTAGTTTAGATTCAAGGTCTGTCCATGGAGTAGAGTGAGTGTGTTTTTTTATGGGGGTAGAATGGGGAGAAGAGGGGAGTGCCTACAACACAAGGTGCTTTATTGCTTATCAGGAACCTGACGTCAGGTGATACAAAAGCCAAAGTATAAAAGCTTGATCCATAAGGAATAAGAAAGTACTGTTTGCACGTGTGGCTAGAGCAAGTACTAGAAGCATGGTGGAATTTTTTTTCTTAAGGGAAGTTGGAGGGAAGCGGGAGCTGTAGCAGTGTAGGCAAATTTCAGAGTAGCGGTATTTTGGGAAGTGGTGTGGCAAGGATTCTTTTTCTCATCACTGTTAAGGACCAACAGTTTTGGCCTCATTGCACTGCAATAACAACTGACTTTGAGGCTGAAGTGTACTGAGTTTTCTATAGATTGTGAAGTTGGTGCTGCAGATCTGAAGGAATATCCTTGGGTATGGAAAGACTGCAGGCTAACGGCAGTGTATCCGCTCTAGGACATGGCATTTACTCCAACCTGCTGGGATTTCTTGGTGGGGTTTGCTGGACAATGCTGGTAGCAAGAACATGTCTGCTCTATCCAAATGCTTTGGCTTCTGCTCTTGTGAACAAGTTCTTGGTTTGCTTTTTTTTTTTTCATTATTTTTTTTTCAAAATGTTTAGAGCTATTGTTTATTTTAATTTTCAGAAAGAAGTAACAGTTCTAGAGGTAGTTCTTCATATAAGATTTGCGTTGACAACATTCACTCCTACCCTGAATTACATGGCAGAGTTTTAGATGGACAGTTGCTGGCTTTTCTAACGTAGGGAATGGCCAAATCCTGTATTGCTGAAACAACCAAAAGACAGCAATCTTAATTTACCACTATAGGACCCTAGTGTCACCGAAATCTGGGATAAAAATAACTAAAGCAGGTGCAGACATTAAGGTGTGTTTTATCTCTATAAAAGCCTTCTGTTTTTGGGGGCCCCATACAAAAGGAAAATTCTTTTGGGCCTCATACAATGGTTTAGCTATTAGGTTGTAATTCATAATCCAAAGACGACACCACCCGGTCATTCCCTAGAATGCTCTGAGCTCATGAATGTTTTTTCAGCTCAGGTATATTGCAAATAGTTTCTTTACGATCTTTTCCTAATTGTCGCTGTCCTTTTGAAATCTCAAAGCCCAGATAAATCACAGTCTGGCAGGCTATTTGGTCTTTCTTCCGAGATACTTTGTACCCATTCAGTCCCAGAAAATTCAAAAGGTTTATTGTGACCTGTATGCAGGTAAATCTTTCTTCTGTAGCAATTAGTATGTCATCCACATACTGTAAAAGTAAATGTCCAGGCCTTGGTTGGTTCTGCTTCCAAATTTCAAGTTCTTTTGCCAACTGGTTTCCGAAAATTGTCGGGCTGTTCTTAAATCCTTGGGGTAGTCTTGTCCATGTCAGCTGCATCCTTCGTCCTGTCTGTGGATTTTCCCATTCAAAAGCAAACAATTTTCTGCTTTCCTTCTCCAAAGGTATACAAAAGAAAGCATCTTTTAAATCAAGCACTGTAAACCACTGATAATTTTCTTTTAATGCTGTCAACAATGTATAGGGATTTGCCACTACAGGATATATGTCCTTGACTATTTGATTCACCGCTCTCAAGTCTTGCGCTAACCTATATTCACCCAAGGGTTTTCTGACTGGTAAAATAAGAGTGTTATATTCAGATTCACATTCCTCTAAAATTTTGTACTTCAGAAATTTATCAATTAGTTTCTTCAATTCCTGTCTAACTTCTGGTTTAATTGGATATTGTTTATTTTTTACTGTCCCTGCACCATCCTTCATATCTATTTTCACAGGCTCTGCCAATTTTGATTTGCCAGGAATGTCTGTTTCCCATATTGTAGGAATCACTGCAGAATCCACCTCTGGTGGAATTTCTGGTTCCTTTACCTTTTCTTGTATCATCAGGATTTCTCCTGTTTTCGACTCAGGTATTTTCAAGAAAAGTTCCCCTTCCTCAAAAACAATTTGTACATTTAGTTTAGATAACAAATCTCTTCCTAATAAGGGTATCGGACATTCTGGTACATACAAAAATTCATGTGTAATTATTTTGTTTCCAAATTTTAAATCCAGAAGTTGCAGGAATGGCCTATTTTCCTCATTCCCTGTTGCTCCTATTATGTTTGCTGGTTTTGTTCCATTTTTTCCTTTACAAGTATTCAATACTGAAAATGTCGCTCCTGTATCTACCAAAAATTTAACTTCCTTTTCTCCCAGCTTAATTACAACCAGAGGCTTGGGTTCCCCTCCAGTCCCCTTCAGTCATCTAAACCCATCAATTTGGCTATTTCCTGCTGAGCATTTCTACTTCTAGGACAATCCTTCTTCCAATGTCCTTCTTGTTTACAATAGGTACACTGATTCACTCCTAAGGGGGTATTAAAATTCTGATTTCCATAGTTCATAAATCCTCCCCTTCTAGCAATTCCTCGTCCTCTTCCTCTGCCTCTTTCTCTGCCTGCTGTCCTTGTCATTACAACCAACAATCTATTTTCTCTGGTCTTCCTTTCCTCTTTTTCCCTGTTATTATATACTTTCCATGCTGCTTCTAGCATTTTATTTAGACTCCTTGAGTCCTCTCCTTCGAGTTTCTGGAGTTTCTTTCTTATATCTGGTGCTGATTGTCCCATAAAAATCAAAGTCAATTGTATCTGAGCCGCCTCTGTTTCCACTCTCAAATCAGTGTATTTTCTGGCAGCTTCCTTCTGTCTCTCCAGAAATGCTGAGGGAGATTCATTCTTATCTTGTCCCACCTCATATAACTTAGACCAATTCAACAATTTAGGCATGGCATGTCTAACTCCATATAAAATCCCTTTCTGATATTGATTCAATCTTTCTCTGTGTTCCACATTATTTGGATCCCATTGCGAATCCCCAGATGGAAAATTCTGCTCCATTGTTCCACTGGTTGTTCCACTTAATACAGCCATTTCTGCCTGGGCTTTGCCAGCTTTTAGTACCATCTGCTTTTCTGTATCATCCAACAAATTATCTAGAATTACCTGTAAATCACTCCAATCTGGATTCTGTGTTCTGATTATAGTGTCTACTACTCTGCCTACTCTTTCAGGATCCTCTCTATACACTCCTGCTGCCTGCTTCCAAGCCATCAAATCCGTCACTGAAAAAGGCACTTTCACATACACAGGCCCATCATTGCCAGCTCCTTGCCTCAGGGGAGCTATTGTTTGTACCTGCTGCCGAGTTCTTCGAGAAACAGGGGTATGAATTACGACCTCAGATGGCCCTTCCTCCACATCCTCTATTCCACTACTCTCAGGTTCCTCTACCTGCTCTCTATGTTCCTGCCTCTGATGCCGTTCTCTCTGTGGAGGGATATAGCTAGTTCAGGCCCTTCATCCTTTTCAGCAGAAGCAATTCTTTTCTTTAAACAATCTTTTCCAAGCTCACATGTTGAACAACACTTTTTCACCGTTCTACCGTCCGTAGTCATAGCCTTCACTAAATTGTCTCTACTGATTAACTTACATTCCTTCTGCCAATCCTTCCTTTGCCTTAAATAAAAGAATAAATCAACATATGGCCCCTCACTCCATTTTCCTTCCCTTCTGCAAAACAGCATTAACTGAAAAATGGTATTATAATTTAATGTCCCATTCATGGGCCATTTTTCCTGATCAACCAGAATATACAAAGGCCACCAATGATTACAGTATTCAATAGTCTGACTCTTCCGCAAATCATCCTGCAAATCTCCCCAATGTGCTAACAAACATCCTAATGGAGAGGTTTTCGGAACTTTGTCATTTGCAGCAAGATTACCCATACTTTTAAATAAATGAGTCAGCTTAGATGCCATGGTTCAGTTATTTTGTTAACACAATATACAATTAATCACTCGCTCAAGTCTATCGCTTCGTCCTTCTCTGGCTGCACCCCTCGCGGGATAACAGAACCGCACATCTGAACTCTGCACTCGCTTCGTGCTCAATTGCACGTCTCACACTTACAGACACACTCACACCTTTTTACAATTACTATTACAAACAAAGATATATAACACAATACAACACCGTTCTTAATTACTATACAACATGCAATTGACGAAACAACCACTACCACAACTAAGTGCATAAAAACTTCTAGCTTTCTGTTAGAGGCACTACCTTTGAGAACTCTATAGCATATAGGTTCTCTTGTTTCCAAATCCAAATGTCCAACCCTGCAATAGCTTTCACTTATGTCTTATGGGAAGATGCCTAGGCTTCCAATACACGAGGATCCTCTAGCCCAACCCTGCGCAGCTTTCGCCGCGTCTGACAGGCAGGTTTGTACAGTGGGACTCTAACCCACTTTTCCAAAATGAATGCAAAACCGATCCAAAACGAATGTGGGACTCTAACCCACTTTTCCAAAACGAATGCAAAACTGATCCAAAACCAATACAAAGGAGAAGTGTCTTACCAAAATCCAGGGGACGTCGCGAAGAGCCTTACGGATTGGGGATCGATGGGTATCCCCGAGAAATCCTCGGTGCTGGCTGGAACCGATCAGGTCCCCGACTCCTCTGGTCTCTCTCAGCGAGGTCCCATCTGGGTCGCCAGAAACTGTCACCGAAATCCGGGATAAAAATAACTTATCAACACCAGTTTGATGCAGATAAGCAGACACTCCTTTATTGACGGCCGGACGTGCAGGGGAGTGCTCTCACCAACAACACGTGCCAGGCACTGGGATCATACATCTTATATAGAACTTATACATATTCATTAAGTCTTCATACATAAGCACACAACTTCCAAGAAATCATTAATATATTCTCTTCGAACTTCTGATTCTGCGCAGTAAAGGTTAGAAATGTCTAGAAATGGGTCTGGGGTGTCATGTGAGTAGGTGGTCCATGAGTCGGTGGTCGTGATCTCCCCCTGCCAGAATTACCTTTTGCTTAAGGACACAGTTTTCTTGGCAGGTACCTGCAAGCTGTTACGGTGACTTCCCTCAGTTCCCATTAATCCTGGACCTTGACAACTACTTGCATTCTTCTAGTCCTATGTATGTATTATAAATCAACTTAAAATCATCTTGTGTTTTGGTTACCAGTGTTTTAACTGTTTCTACTAGATAATTATGGCCAATCCCTTCGGCCTTGGTACGGGGCTGTACAGGGAACACTTAGAGTAGCAGCTGGTTGCTAGGTTCGAAATACAATAAATGTTAAATGATTTTTACTACAATATCTCTTATCTCTATACTTATATTAAAATCATAACACAATCAAACACAATTTAGTCGATAATAAAATCAGTAACACTAGGGCGTGTAAACATTGACTTCAGAAGCCTTTAAACTTTTTTCCAACCTAAGTTGATGCTAAGCACCATTGTTTTAACATCCCAGGTGAACCCCTCAGACCGATCCCATGTAATGTGGATCCTTGCCCCAGGCTCTCCACAGCAGAACTCTACACACAAGGGATCTGCATCAACACGAGCGGTAATGGTAGAAGAGTTTAAACATGGTAAAGTCCTTCCCATACTTGTTAACTGTTTACAAAGTACAATTCTTGCTATATGAAACCACATTATCTGAACTGGTACCTAA